GGGGGCAGGAAGCTCATGAAGATCCCCCTCACAGGAGCCGCCTGGGCCTTGAGTGACACCCACCACCCATGCCCACACCTGGGCTGGGGGCTCTAATGCATGAGTGAGACAGAAAGCAAATCTACAGACTTGGGACATCAGACACACCAGCCAGTGAGGAACTGCAAAGCTTTCAGGAGGGACTTTACCAGCACCCACACCCCGCTTCGTTCCAGCAAAACGATCTGCACAGAGATTGGAAGCACATCACTAACTTCATCCTAGGCAAGTAAAAAAGAGACTGCACCCCAAGACATGGGGATTTAGAATGTCAGAGGTCCCCCCCAACTCAATTTCTTATTTTAACTGATGGGGCAAGTGGGGTGGAGGCAGGTAAAGGGCCCACCCAAGACCACACAGGGAGGCAGGAGATGTTATCCTACTTCAGCTGAACAAAGGGGGAAGCCAGTTCAGGACCAACATCAAGTTACTTTTTTAAAAAAACAACAGAGTTATCATTCACATACCCTAAGATCTACTCTTTTAAAATGTACAATTCAGTGGTTCTTAGTACACTCAGAATTGTGAGACCAATACCACCAACTAATTACAGAACATTTTCATCACCCCAAAAGGAACCCTGCCCCATTCACAGTCAGTCCCTATTCCCCCAACTCCCAAACCTCAGGCAACCACAAATCTACTGACTATCCTGGTGGGTTTGCCTATTCTGGACGTTTCACACAAATGGATTCCTGTAACAGAAGGCCTTTTGTGTCTGGCTTCTTTCACTTAGCATACTGGTTTCCAGGCTCTTCCATGCTGTCATTTCTATAGTGTTTCATTCTTGTTTATGGCTGAATGATATTCCACTGGGTGACTATATCACACATTTTGTTTATCCATCTGTCAGCTAAGGGACATTCGGACTGTTTCCACCTTTTGGCTCTCAGGAATAACGCTGCTATGAACAATACTGAGGAACCTTTAACTGCCACCTCGGCCTCACTCCAACACATCCACCCTCCCTCCACAGACCTGGGAGGATGGAGCCCCAGGACATGAACTCAGGTGGGACAAAAGGTCAGAAGAGTAAGTGTAGGCTGCCTCCAGGCCCTCTGTCCACACTCCCGTCTTAGAAGCTATCTTAGTACTTAGAAAAGTTGTGTTGATTTCTAAATAATAACTTACGTTCTCTAAACTTAAAGGGGACAACTCTTCGAGCCCCGCAGGCCCCTCAGAAAGAAATGATCATAGGCAGGAGGGAGGGAGGGAGGGAGGGAGGGAGGAAGAGAGATCAGAAACTCCAGCCCCCCCCAGACAGCCAGCCTCAGGCATCAACTTCAGGAATCTCCTCCAACTTCCTTCAGAAGTGAGAGCAGTCAGCCAGGGGCCAAGTGTACCAGAAGGCTAGCGCTCAGCCCAATGCAGCTCAGGCTCTGGTTAGCCCCCAGGGGGTACTTAGCCTTTCGGGATCTAGACCCTAATTCTAAAGCCAGAAGAGTTCACAGCCTCTCCCACTGCCTGGTAACCTTTCAGTTGAAGACACTACCTTCCACCCCGATCTGTGCAGCCCAGCATCTTGCTTAGGAAAGGTCCATGAGCCTCCCTGGGCCTCCCAGCTTTCACCCTCCCAAGAGGTGCCCTCCTGGGTGCCTGTCCCCTCCAGCCCCAGGACCTGATGGCTCAACCCCAAGCCCCAGGGTGGGAGACACAGAAGAGAAGCTCCTGGTGCTTTAAGGCCGGCAGAGCCTAATTGCCCAGATTCCCCCCCCCACCCCCACCCGGCAGCCAGATAAACAGCGCGGCAGGCTGGCGCCAGCAAGAGGCAAACTGCACATTATCACCCCTTCCTCACCTCCAAGGAGGAGCTCGGAGGAGCAGGGCGGGCAGGGCCGAGGGGCCGCCAGAGGGGCCGCCAGAGGGGCGGGGCGGAGGCTTGGAAGCCCGACTTGAAATTGATCTCATTTCAAAGGGATAATGCCAGGCCAAGTAAAAGGAAAACTTTCTAGCCCATTCTAATTCCTATAGTCCTGGCCTGGGAACCCTGTGTTTTCCTAGGCGGCCTCCTCCAGTCGTTTAGAAGTTCTCTCTCGCTCTGTCTCTCTTCCCCTGGCGCAATTTGGATAATAGTAATTTACTGAATATAATTACAGAAAAAAAAAAAGTGGTGAAGCAAAGAACAGGAGATTTATTCCAAAGTTAATGGATACTTTCGGGAGAAAGGAGCTCTATAAACACAGGTTAGAACTGTGATTAAAGTATTTCTCCACATTTCCGTCCACATAGGCACCAAGCTCAGCGAACTGGCTTTTCCAGGGACAGAAAGATACACCAGAGGGAGGGAAAGCTAGGGCCTGACTCCCACGGGAGCGGGAAGCCCAGGGCAGAGCTGGGCACACAGGACCCCACTTTCTGAGACAAGCATGGGGGAGAGGGCAGGCTTGTGTCACCTGGAATCCTCCCAGCAGACCCTCAGAGATTCTGTTCACCACTCCCTCGCTTTACAGATGAGAAAAGAGGCCCAAAGAGGGGAACTGGCCCCAATGCCCCAAAGCAAGTTGAAAGACGGAGTAGGGTTTGCCCTGAGCAGCAGGGGGCCGCCTCACTAGGGATCCCTGTGGGGGCCAGGGGGGCACTGAGGGGCCGGTGGGTGTCCCTCAGTTGGCCCGCTGGGTGTTCCAGCGTAATCTCTATGGGTGTACCTGCCCCAGTGCCCCGGCCCTCTCCCCCAGAGCCCGGGAAGGAGCAGTCTCCTTATCAGGACGCGCACGGCTGAGCTCCAGCTATGCACCCGCCCAGCTCCAGGAGCCAGGCTGGCGGCCAGGAGGCGGCGGTGGGGTGGACAGCAAAGGGCTCCCCCAGTCCTCAGTCCTGGCGGCCCAAGCCATCAGGCAGGGGATGGAACAAGAGGGTCAGCCTGGTGCCTACCGGAAACTCTTCCCAGACCACCAGTCCTCCCAACGGCCCCCGGGGTGGCTTGAACAGCGCGTGGGAGGCGGGGCTTGGGCTAACGAAGTAGCAGGAGAACAGGCACAGTCCCTGCAACAGCGCCTCCTTCTGGGAGCGGGAGAGGAGTCAAGTGCCGAATGCTTAGTCTGGAATTTGAGGTGGAGAACGTTTCTAGAGCCGCCCCCACTGACCCACAGAGAGACTAAGAGGAGAGGTTACTCCTCGAAGGCCAAGTTGTCGATACCGGCAGGGCAGAGCCTAGGACCAGGTGTATGGGTCAGAACCATTCCACTGCAGTTTGCCCATCAACTTAAAACTGCTCAAGGCCACCAAACTCAAACCAAGACCCAAGCTGACTTATCCAAGAAGTACGGGCAGGGTGGGTCCTGCCTGTCTCCAGTTTTCTTTACCCCACCCCTTCCCACCCTCACACCTGAGCCTGCCTGGAACCCTGACTCCCAGCGGGCCCTCTCCTCCTCCCCCTCGACACCCACCTCCCCTTACCCGTCCATCATCCAAGGCCCCGCTCCAGGTTAGAGCTCTGAGGCTCCTAGAGGTGCTCCTGTTACATGCACACCCCACAGTGCTCTGAGAGTTCAGACCCTCTGGCCTGGCCCTGCTTCCCCCATCTCTGTCCCAACTCTCCCCCCTCCCCCCACCACAACCCGAAGATTCTGTTTCTTGAGGGCATGGATCCTACTCATATTTCCACTCTCCCCACTACAGCACCCAGCATGCTGCCTGGCACAGAGTAAGTGCTCAACAAATATTCGCTAGCAGACTGATGTGGTGAGAGAGAAAATGCCCAGTGGGGCCTTCTAGAAGAGCAGAGGGGCCCCCACCAATTCTCTCCCCCTGAAAACGGGACCAGGGACAGGGCAACCACAAACAGGGCCCTCCTCCTCAGAGGCAGGGAGGAGCCAGGGTGGAAGAGGGGAGAAAGCCACTTCCAGGGAAAGCTGTCAGAAGAACAACAAGGAGCACAGAAAGTCCGCAGAGGGCCACAGGCCAGCGACTGCCCAAAGCCCCTGAGGATCACGCCTGGAGCTGACCATGCGGGGCGCAGGGCAGCCAGATCAATGCTGCCTCTCCCCACCCCAGCCCCCATCAGTGCTCTCTCTTCAGGAACCACCACTGAGGCACCGTCCTTCCCCTCCAGCCACCACCCCAGACACCAACAAGACACCTGGGATAAATCCATGCTTCTAGCCCCACCCTCCCCTTCCACGCTGGAAGTCAGGAGACCTGTGTGATCTGACCCTCTTAAATGCCCCCAGGCTGGGTGCTGCCTCTCTCCAGAGGAGCCAGGCCGGAGGAACTCAGAGACTGCCCAGGCCCAACAGTCTATAACCCTCAGAGAGTCCCATCCCTGCAGAACCCCCAGTGCCACTTAAGATGCATACACCCAGAAGATGCTACAGGCTAAAAATGTGTGATCCCTGCAGTGCAAGGGAAGGGGGCGGTGGGCGGGGGGTGTGAGGATGCAAGCTTCTGGCCTGCCTGGAGTCTCCTTCTGTTCTCACCTCTGCTACAGCACCCAGGGCCTGCTCAGGTAAGCAGGACTGGGTAGATGGTGTGTTCAGAAAAATCCCAAGAAGAGGACAAAGAAGGGGGAAGTTCTCAAAAGTACTAAAATATCCAGCTTCCTTCCCTACCTAGACACCTCCAGGACCCTCAGCTCTCTAGAAAAGCTGGGCACAGGATTGACAATGATGATGACAGAAGGTCCTGGCATTTGACACCCAAGGGATGCTGGCAACAATCAAGGGGCAAGAGAGCAAGAGGGTGGTCTCCACTCTGAGAAGGGTTACCCCGCAAAAGCTTTGCTCCTAAGTATAGACAGAAACAAGTAGGACAGTTTACAAACACTTTGGACTCTAACCATGAATTGCCTACACCCAATTTCACGACATATATCTACCTGGATACGACAAAGCATAATATACCGCAGGTATAGGCATATGCACACAAATGCTACAGGCCCGGGCACGGACTGGGGGTAAATGGGCTTGGGGTGGCACTCAAGTCTTTGGCCTCTCCTAGACCTGCCCTCCTCTTCCACCGTCTGGAAAGTCGGAGCCTGCCTCAGGTCCCTGAAGCTGCACAGAGAAAACTCCAACGCGCACCCTTCTGAGTCTGCCGGAGCCTTAAGACGAAGTTGCCGTGTGCGCCCACATCCCCCCTCCCCGGCTTTCCTGCCAGCGTGAGGCGCCTCCACTGGGAGCTCCCACGCTCCAGGGGCACCCGGAGGAGCACCCGCAGCTCCGCCCGCCCGCCCGCCAGAGGTGTCAAGGAGAGAGACAGGAGGCCGCGTAAGGGGGCGGGAAGGGAACCCCGAGGGCCCGCCGGGCGCGGCGCGCTCACCTGGCCCGCAGAGCCGGCTGAAGTGGTAGGGGTTGCAGCACACTGTGGGGCCGTCGGCGGCGGCGGCGGCGAAGCTGTGGCAGCCGCACAGGGGCTTGAGCTCCACGGCGTGCTGCAGGTCGGGCCAGCGGAAGAGGCGGCCGAGCAGCAGCTGCGGCGGCGCGGGCTGGCCGCCCAGGCGGAGGTCGGCGCGCGGCACCAGCACGCAGCCGCCCGGCACGCCGCCGCGGGACTCCACCGCCTCTAGCAGCGTGTCCAGCGAGCGCTCCTTGAGCCGCTTCAGCAGCGAGTACGTGACCGTCTTGAGCTCCTGCTCGAGCAGCAGCAGCCGCGAGCGGGCTTCACGACTCCGTCCGCCGCCCGTCGGCTCCAGGGCCGCCCCGGCCAGGGGCTCGCCGGCGTCCCGGGGCGCGCCGGCGGCGTCTCGCTCCGAGAAGAGACAGCAGGTCACCGTCTCGCAATCACTTTCGGGCAGCCAGCCCCGGCCTCCCGGCTCCGCCACGTCCAGCGGGGAGCCCCCAGAGCCGGCCCCCGGCTCCGACATGGGCCTCGGGGGGCCCCCTGCGCGCCGGCGCCTCCCAGCGCCCTGGGCGCCTCGCTGTCCCACCGCGTCCCGGGGCCGCCTCAGGGCTACCGGGCGGGCTTCGGGGCGGCCGCAGCCTCCGCCTTCTCGTGCCCGCGGGGCCGGCTCAGCTCGGCTGCCCACGCTCCCATCCTCGTCGCCGCCGCCGCCGCTGCCTTCTTCCCGGTCGGGGACCACACGACTTCGCCAAAGTCGCCGCACCAGCCCCGAGCGTTTGGACCTGAACATACGATATCCTTTGGCGCCGGGGGTGGGGGGGAGGCGGTCTCCGGTTACCGGGGGTCCGTTTCCTCAGCGAGGCGCCGGCTGCGCGGGCCGCAGCCCCACATGAAGCTCTGCCGCCGGGCGCCGTGCAGACCGCGCACAGCCTGTCGTCGAAGGGGCGCCGCAGGGCTGCAACATGAGGGAGTTCGCCAGGGCAGGACGGCGGGGAACGCGCGCACGCCGAGCCGCAGTCCGCGCTCGGCCCGCGACTACATGGACCCCGGCGCCCGGGCAGCTCAGCAACTCCAGCCCCGGCGCTTTAGAGGGACTGCAGACTGCGCGCCGCCAGCAAGACCCCGCATGGGCCGGAGAGCCTTCAAAAGTTACGCGGCTGGTCCATGAGTACAAAGCGCTCGCGCCGAACCCCCCCAAATGTGTCTGGGAAGCCCTGCCTTTAAAACCCAAGCACTTCACTACATGGGCTTTTCCTGCAGGATCCGAAAGGCAGGCTTGTTGATACCCTCGGCTTCCTTCTTACTCCCTGCAGAAAGAAAAAAAGAAAAAGAAAAAAAGGAAAGAAAGAAAAAGAAACCCCAAACAAAACCAAAATCCCTGGAATTGCATGCACGAAAAGCCAACTCCGTCTCAGGTCCCAGGCGCTAGATGCACTTGGAGCGAATTTCTCCGGAACGCGGGTGTCAACACATGAGTGGAAACTGTAAAAATCCCAAAGAGCTGCTGGGAATCCTTAATTAAAAATGCAATCCACCGAGGCAGAGGTCGTAGCCCGCCCCACGCTGCGCTCGGACGCCCCGGACGCTGCGGCTGCAGAGGTCGACCCCCTCCCCCCTCCACAAAAAGTGCCTCCCGGTGGCCCCGTGGTCCCGGCGAGGTCTGGCGAGGCAGCGCTCGGCGGCTCTTTCTCTCGGCTCGTCTCCCTCGCTCGCTCCCCCGCTCGGCTCTCTCTTTTTTGTTCTCCTCAAACGCACACTGAGGGCCCCCGGAGGAGCGCCGCGGAGTCATTGGCTGCCTCCCATCATATGCCAGTCTAGACACTTTGGCGGCTCCGCGGCGCTGATTGTTGCGCAAACAAGGTTTCAAGTTTCTTAACTCTTAAAGGAGAACACGTCCCATTGCAGGGCCCGAGGCTCCGAGGGGCCGGCTCCCGGGGCGGGCCGAGCCCCGGCCCCCGCCCCACGCTTGCCCCAGCCCCCCTGCCCCGGGCCTGACAGCGCCCACGGCCTGCTCTCTGGCTCGCGTGCGCCGCGGGCACGGATGCGAGCGCGCGCTCGCACACACACACACACACACACACACACACACGCGGTTACACAAACCACGGGCGGGCTGCTCGAGGGCTCGGCGGACTCACTAAGACTCGGACACAAACGGGGCGCTTTGCCTCTCCCTGGCTTGTGCACAAGCTTATAAACACACATTGCACTTTAGAACTGGTACAAACCCCCATCCCAGGGAAGGCTAATAAAAATGGGTGTGCGTGTATGCTTTCCTGGCTTGCGTCTCTTGGGAGCAGGGGGCGGCTGATTTGTTGGAGTAGCGGGAGCTAGCGTGATAGCACGAGGTTTCCACACCCCCTGCGCAAAGTCAGGGGTTGGCCGCCGGGCCAACCGGGGGGCGTGGAATGCCTCGCGCAGCGGGATTCTAGGCTTGCTCGAGGTAGGGGAGTTGCAGAGGGTGGGGTAGAGGCGGAGAAGGTCTTCTCTCGGGCTCCTCTCGGTCGCCAAGTCTCTTTACCTCGGAGCTAGGCGGGCCGCCAGCCGTCCCGGGGCTGGGCGACTCCTCCACCCCCTTCCCTTCCCCAGTTTATTCTCTGCACCACGGAGAGGGATGTGGGTAGGGCTCGTGATTTCCCCAGCGACGTTTCACCATGGCAATGGGGGTGGGTTGGGGGACCGGGGCCCGCCTGATCCGGGGCGAGCTGGTGGGAGCGCGGAGGCAGCTGCGAGCCGCCCGGCGAGGTAAGGGTTAAGGCCGCTCTTGCCCCTGGAGCCGGCGCGGCGGGGTACCTCCTCGGGCTCTCTCGCTAGTCCGAGGGTGGCAAAAGTTCAAGCTTGTAAAGTCGGGATTGGCCCCGCAAGGAGGGAAAAAAGGCCTGGTCCCCCCTCCCACCCCGGGCGCGGCGCCGATTGGCCGGGCCCCTGAACGGGCACCGCCCTCTCCCCGGCGCGCGGCGGCACCGCCCCCGGCGTGGTGTCCCGCCCCTTTCCGGGCAAGAACCAGACCAGCACTGAATGAAAGAAATTCCGCTACTCTCATTGGCCCGGGGCTGGACGCCATTCCCCCCGCCGGGGCCGAGGGGCTGCAGGCGCGCGGGTCTCCCTCGGGAGTTCCCACGTGTGGGACTGGCCTTGTGAGCGTGCTGCGGTGCTAGTACCCGGGCGGGCCCGAGTTGTGTGTGCGCTGGGGGAAGGCCGGTGTTTGCAGGAAGGACTTAGAACCCTTTGCTGAGCTTTACCTGGAGCCAGGTACTGTTCGCTCCGCTCCCTCTGGGAGAGGCGTTCACTCTCGCGAATGGAGGGCCGGACTTAGAAGCTTCCCAACCCTCATCCCCTTCTTCTTTGGCCCAATCAAAATAGCTGTCTTGGCCTCCGTTTGAAAAACGGAGATGATGACGCCTGCCCTGCCTTCTTCACAGAACCATGAGGATCCTAGGAGACAGTGCCTTTTAAGTGCACAAATCGTAAGCAAACAGGGTGAATTTTCACAAGTGAACAAAACACCTGTGTAAGCAACACCTAGAGGACAACGGATCTTGTGGCCCCTTTTCAGTCACTTCTGACCCCTGGGGAAATGAATGCGTCTTAAAATGCAAGGAGAAACTTAATGTGATGTAAAGTGTTTTCTTTCATCAGGGTATCTGCTGGTTTGGCTGTGGATTACAATAATAGCTTGTGCTTACTATGGGCAAGGCCATGTTCCAAGCAAGCATTACAAAGATTTCAGTCATTCTCACAACAATCCTATTAATACTATTACCTCCCTTTCACAGATGAGGAAACTGAGGAACAGGAACTTACTCATTCAATTTGCCACTGAAATGAAGATAGTCTTGAAACTGCTAAGATACTAAAAGCAGAGAGGCATAAACCAGTATGTGCTCTCACCCCAACAGCTAGAAAGTGGTGTGGGTCTGTGTTGCCGGAGCACACCCTTCAGGACACTGCTTTCCGAAATGTGATCCATTGGACCTGCTGAATCAAAGTGTTGTGGGGTGAGGCCCCAGACTCCATATAACAACACTTTGGGGGTAGGCATGGTTATTCACCACTAATTTCCATTAAAGGACACTGAGGCACAAAGACCTTAAGTAACTTGCACAAGCTTGTAGTTAGTGGCAGAGGTTGGATTTGAACCCAGCCAATTTGGCTGGGGGAAGAGGTATGTGTGTGTGAGGGGAAGCAAAAGGAAAAGGATAGCAGGTGGATGGATTACCCCTCAGGGCTTCCACAAATGCTCAGCACCCCTGGATGCAAATCTGTGAACTGTGACTCCTTCCCCCTCCATTCCCCCATACCTCCCTAAGGTACCAGGGCATCCCTTTCTGCAGGGTTCCTGGTGGAGCACCCTGAGGGATGTCAGGCCTGTGCTTGGGGCCTCAGGCCGAGGAGAGACTGAAGTAGGAACCTTCCTGGGGAGGGCTGCCTTCTTCCCTGAGCAGTAATTTGGACAAAGTTTGCCTTCTGCTCCTGCTCACCCAGAGATGTGGCATTGAGGGTGGGGTGCCATTAGGTGCCAGCTGGATGACACCTGAAGAGCATGGAAACCAGAGTCTAGTAGGCCTGAGTTCAGTACTGACCCTACTTAACCTCCCTCGCCTCTATAAGCCTCGGGGTTCTCATCTGTAAAATGGGAATAGGAATCATGCTACAGTTGGTTACCAAAGTTAAATGACACGAGGTCCCGGAGTCATCCCTCATTCCCTCATTCCAGGAAAACCAAGTCTCAATGGAGATAGCATCAGGAAGAGAAGGATGGTGACAGTCAGTCCCACTGTCCTTGGATTCCAGGGCCCATCCAGCCTAGCGCCTGCCTGTGTTGTGACCACTAGAGGGTGTGTGTGGCAGTGCCCAGAGGGCAGGGCCTCAGAGCTTCAGCCTAGGGCACCCTCCTAAACTGCCCCTCTGGAGAACAATCTCAAATTCCCTGAGAGTGCAGGAAAGGAGAAAGGTAGGGTCCCAGCTGCTGCTCCTCAGGTCTCTGCAGCCAGGTTATTCACAAAGTAACTCACAAAGAAATAACTCTAACCCCTGAGATTTAAATCTGCCCCCTCCCCATTTTTCTAATATTCCCCCAAAGTACCCTGTGTTTTCTCACAGTTCATAAACCCATGCAACCCCGTGTCCATTCTCCTCTGCCTCTGGAATGTAAGCCCCACGTGGTTAGAGATGGTGAAACTGTCAGGCACAGGCCACCCACAGACCCACTGAGCGAGTCAGAAACAGGCCATTTGATGCCACTCTGTCTGTACCATCAAAGAAACTAATTCACACAAGACAGCACCTGCCCCATTTCTTCTTCCCAGTCCCTAGCATAACACCTGTCACACAGCAGGCACTTAATATTTGTGACATAATTGGATTACAACCCCTCACTTCTCCAAGCTCCATGCTCATCATCATCCCATACCAAACACTTATATGCACTATCTCATCGAATCCCCCCAACAGCATAATGAGGAAGTTCTTATTCTTAAACAATCCATTTTTTTAGAGAAGGAAACAGAGAGGTTAAGTAATTTGCCTTTGGTCACACAGCCAACAAGTGGCAGAGATGGGACTTTAACCCCAGGCTGCTTGAGTTGAATGTTCATCTTCTGAATATCTGGCCCTAGAAAAGAAAACATGGTCTTTTGCCCTTGGGACGTTTCCACATTAGCTGGGAATTCACAAGGTATGAAACAGCAGAAATAATACAAGGCAGAACTTGCTTCTTGGTGGTGGGAAGAGGCAGGCTCTAGGGGCCACTGCTTATGAACAAAGGCATTACAGAGGGAGTCTGGGCCA